GAACTAGCTGGTAAGTGTAGCCAAGGCCTAACTCAACACAACATTCAACAGTCAACAACCTACACCCCATAGCTACATTGCACACAAAAGAAGTTCAAGCACTAGAATGTCCAGCTTAAACTCCCAAGTTCTTTAAATGGTATATGTGAAAAATACTGTACGCTTGCTAACAAATACCATGCAACTCTGCTGTTAGAATTCTTAACATCACATTTGGGAAAAAAGAAAATGAAAACTTTGCACTTTTCAATAAAGAGATGAAAGCTGAAAAAATCATGGATTTATAAATAATCACAGTTTAGCTTTGTCTTTTTTTTCTTTTAACAATAATTTGAAATAAAGCAACAAGTAAAATGTGTCATCTCTCTACATAGAAAACCTTGAAAATCAGTGTTCCCATCCCCCCCGGGATTTAGAGTTTTTACTGAAACAAAACATTAATCAAGGGCTTTACTTATCCACTGTCAATATTCTGGACCACTCTCAGTTAGGTTTCAAGTCAGGTCCTAGAATAGAGTCAGCATTGGTGGTGCTGATGAATGACACCTGTCCTGTCCACAGAGGATGTCCATGCCTACACTCCTGGGACTGTCTATGGCTTTTGATATCACTGAATACCACTGTTTCATCTCAGCGACATAGTAAGGAATAATGGAAAAGCACTCAAATACTTCTAATCCTTTCTTGCAATCGCTAATGACTCCACCACATTCCTTCTCCTCCAGAGCATTCACCTCTGGTACCCCACAAAGCTCAATTTTCTCTCCTATCTTTTTTAACTTCTGCATGAAACCATTGGGCAGGATTGTGAGATACGATGTTCTACATGCTAATAGCATGCAAATGACACCCAGTTCTGTCTCCTTTACCTCATATAAAAATATCACCATCTCCCAGCTATCCCAACACATGGCCAAGATCAGAATCTGAACAAAAGACAGTTCTTCCTCGAGTTCCGGTGCATGTGGCTCTCACTTATGGTGGGGAAGCACCCCTTGCACAGGAGTTTAGATGTTAACTAAGTTATTATTAGCTACTTAGTTAAAGAAAAAAAAGACAGTTGTTGCTTTAGTGCAGTCAGTGAGGCTAGTCAGTTATCTTGTCAATTTCAGGCTTCAAGTCCTGCCCTTGTTGCAGGAAAGTTATTTCCCTCATGGACGGACACAACCATTATCTTTTTTGCTTACCGGAATCTCACATCCCCTCAAAGTGTGCTATCTCTAGAGCTTTTAAGAAGACCACTCAGAGCAGGGCCGGCTCCAGGCACCAGACGAGAAAGCACCTGCCTGGGGTGGCACATTATAAGGGGCGGCATTCTGGCTAATCTTGGGGTGGCACATTCCGGCCGGTCCTTTTTTTTTCTTTTTTGCTTTGGCAGGCCATTCCGCAGCTCCGAAGCCCCCGGCCGGCTCCCACACTCCACCAGTCCCAGCCCAGCCCTGCAGGAGCATGGATCCCGGCCCGGGGGGGCAGGAACTAGCAATCCCCGCCGCTCACCGTGCCGCCGGGCTCCCCAGGACACGCCACTCCCCGCCGCCTGCACCGGCCTCCGCCTCCTGCGCCGCTCTGAGCCCAGCCCGGCCGAGCCGCCTTTAAAGGAGCGGCTGAGCCAGCACCTCCTGCAGCCCCCGGGGGCTCCACATGCCCGGCCGGGAGAGGCACCCCAAGGCCGAAGGTGGGAGCCCCTCTCACCCGGATGCGAGTGGGCTGCAGCGCCTGGCTGCCCACAGACGGAAGGAGCGGGGGGCACCACCCTTCATCCCCCTGCGAGCTGCCTTGACCGCGCTCCCTGCGGCTGCCGTTTTTGGGTTTTTTTGCTTCGACAGTCCGGCTGCCCCCCCTCCCCCCTCCCCCCCTTTTTTTTTGCTTGGGGTGGCAAAAAAACTAGAGCCGGCCCTGACTCAGAGGTCCAGAGAACATAGATTGAGGATCTTTTTAATGGAAAACCTGTGACACCTTAGTCAGACTCTGACTTACTACAGTTACAAGGAGTCTCTGACCTACATTTGGTGACCCAGTCAGTGAGTCTTCCAGCAATGAGGGAGGTTACACTAAGACTCAATGGCTGGAGCTGTCAGGCACTTCTGCTGCCCAGAGAGTCAAGGACTACTCCAGCAGTTCTTCAGACAGACCCAAAGGTGTGACAGATAAGGCAATTTCCTGCAATATCCTAGACAAACCTTATTAAATTAAAATTTCAGTATCTTAGGAGTTGTATTGTATTGTATTAAAAATGCAAATGTGTGTGTAATATTGTGGGATTGTATGTAACCTCTCTAGGGAAGAGAAACATGGCTAATGTAATACCTGGGAAGTGTTATGAGCTTCCAAGGACTCTCAAACAGTTTGCTAGATGAAGTTAAGTGTGGTTTCTAAGAAAAGATGATCATCTGTTATATGAGGACAAGATCAGATGCTCAAACTGCATAAAAGAATGACTCAGCTTCATGGGGGTGCTTATTCTGAGCTAAGAACTGTTATGAACTTGTGATCACAGAAAAACATCTTGGTGGGGTTTGACCTGCCAGAGCCCTTGTTGGGGAACTCACAGTGTGGGCAGGGAACTCTGCAGTCTGGAAATACCCAGGTCAGAAGGGAGAGAAATGCATGTCTCCACCCAAGAGAGGTGATGTCTGGGGAGCTGGAAGCCTAAGAGTGGGTGCCCTTGTTGGATTATATATCCTGTGGAAATACAGGTGCAGTTTCTCTGAACTGTGACAGTGGGTACTGAAAGAACCACTTAAGACGGCATCTGGGAGGTCAGCATTAAGACTGAAGGTGACACCACCAGATCCTCACCCTGTAACAGCTCCGACTTTGAAGAGATCTTGGACAGACTCTTCAGCGTGGGCGTCCTCAGTACAGCAACTGCACCACACGCATTCCATGGTGCGGTCAGGGGCTCTGGCACTGGAATGTACACAGTCTTATCCCTCGGTATTGGCTGAGAGGATGCCTGAAACCTCATTAACCCCTGGAGTGCCAAAGTGATTTTCTGCAGATAAGGAGGACATGTCAGCTTCCTCTCCCTCTCAATTAGTGTAGGAATCGTCTTCAATCACTACTTTTAGAAATGACATCAGAGTTACCCTGGAGTTACGGTCTCCATTGCTGGATTATTTTTCTTACCAACTATATCACTGACTTCATGGGAACATCCCAGGGTTCCTGTCATGAGAATTTATCTGGAGCCCAGGACCCATAGTCTGGTCAAAGTGCCTACTCCAAAAAATCTGGTAGCACCCTCAAGTGCAGATCCACACTTGCAGGACTCTTCATCCGCCTCTCAAGCACCCATTCAGGACCAATCATCAGATTGTCATCAGTTCTCTCTCAAGCTAGGGACTATTACCGAGAAAATTACCTCACTGACTCTATGCTTAGAGCCCTTTCTTAAGATCCAGACTTTACTCCTTATCCATATAGATTTCAGCCATTGCCTTATTTGCCTCCCTGGCCTCAACATTCAAGACCAGCAAGTAATTAGTTGGCTTCCCTTCATGTACCTCTTCAGGTTAGCCATCCAATTTCTGTTCTTCCTCTGGTGCCTCAAAAGAGTACCTAATCTCAACCTCTACCTGAGGAAGAGGACGGAGAAACACAGGATAACCCTTCTCCACCTGCAGATTTCTCTACACCAAGTTAAACTGCTGCACCTTCATGGGGAGATGAGTTTAAAATATATCAGGCATTCTTAACAAGAATGTCAGAGGCTCTAGAACTTCCTTTGGAGTTAGTTCCAAGGACATGCAACTTACTTAATATTTTACAACTGTCCACAGACTAGACTAGCCCTTCCAGCATCTATTTCAGCAACTTCAGAAAGAGCTGAGTGAAAGTATCAGGTTCTCCCCTTTGGGATTTGAATATTTCTATTCACATCCATCACCCTCCTTCATCTTGTTGTCACTGCAGTGAATGAACAATCCAAACAAGTGTACACATCTGCCCCTTGAGATAAAGATAAAAAAAAATTAGATCTCTTTGGGTAGAAAGTAGATGCCCTGGCTTGGCTTAAAGTTAGAATCACAAAACTACTTAGCCATGGTGACCAAATAAAATTATATTCAGTGGGACAAAGCAGAGTTATTTCTTCCAACAAGGTACCTCCTGACTTAATAGAGGAGTTTAAATCAATTTGGTCAGAGGATCATCTCACCATCAGAACTTCTCTTCAAGCTACCTTACACTCTGCAGACCCAGGGGCTAGATTGGGGTTCTCAAACTGGGGGTCAGGACCCCTCAGGGGGTCACGAGGTCATTACACGGGGGGTCGTGAGCTGTCAACCTCCACCCCAAACTCCGCTTGCTTCCAGCATTTATAATGGCGTTAAATATATTAAACAGTGTGTTTAATTGATAAGGGGGGTCAGACTCAGAGGCTTGCAATGTGAAAGGGGTCGCCAGTAAAAAAAGTTTGAGACTTACTGGCACAGAATCAGACTTAGGACTGAAAATGAATCTAAAGAAATCTCAACTAAAGCCGTACCAACACTAGACTCCTAGACTCCAGGTGACGCTAACTCCAACTCTCCTAGACTCCAAGTGATGCCTTTTGCCAGATTGAGACTGAGGCCTCTTAATTCTTGGATCAGACCAGTTTATCATCCAATCACTTACAGCATGAACTGGCAAGTCATGATCCCTCGGTCAAATCTCTTGTCCCTCTGTTGGTGGTTAGAGACAGACAATGTTTGTAGATGTATCTCCCACCCAGATATTAGTCACCAGATGGATCCACAAGCTGATGGAGTGTGGAGCTGGGTCAATTCCAGATGTATGACCTATCGAACTCTGCAGATCGATCAGCTCATATAAATATGTTGAAGCTCAGAGTGATTTGTTTCACTTGAAAATCATTCCTATCACTGTTGAGAAACCAAGCTGTGCAGATTTTGACAACTCCAAAGCCGGGGAGGAGCAAAATCAGACTCCTTTGTCAAGAAGCCATTCTGTTCTGGGAATGATGCATCAATCATTGCATAGATCTCATAGTGATACATGTCCCAGGGGAATAAAATGCTCTGGCAGATCAACTAAGCAGGAAAAGCTGATCGACTCATAAATGGTCTCTAAAGGAGTCAGTGCTGAAACACATCTTCCAAACATAGGGATTTCCAAAAACAGATTTCTGAAAACAGATCTAAAAAACCACCCTCTGTTTTGCTCTTGAGGGGGTCAGAGTAAGGGTGCTCTAGCAGATGAATTTCTAATCTCCTAGTCACATCACCTGGGCTATGCATTTTCTGCTTTTCCTTTAATTCTCAGGTTTCTAAGTAAAGTGAAGCAGGACAGGCCTCATGATCCTTGTGGCCCCAGCATGGCCGTGTCAGTTTTGGTATCTCTCCAATCATCAGTTCATAGCTCTCCCATTTCTACTGGACTTAATCACTCCAGACTCAGGACACAGACTCCATCTGGAGCCAATGTCTCTTCACCTCACAGCCAGGAGACTCTCTGGTTAACATTATTCAATGTTCCCATGAAGTCCAGACTAGGAAAGTGTATTTGGGAACGTTTTTCCTATGAATGCAGTCAAAACAATCTGATCCTCTTCAGGCATCTACTCCATTAATCCTGGACTATCTTCTATTGCTAAAACAGTCAAGACTTTCATTGAACTCGAACAAAGTTCACCTGGCAGCCTTTTATCCTCCTATTCAAGGTTCTTTGGTGTTTTCTCATACAACTTATGAGAAATCAAAAGATTTCTTATGGGCTATTGCACATGTATCCACCAATAATACAAATACAATTTTCTTGGGACTTAAACTTAGTCCCTCCTTCATTTATGAAGCTTCCATTTGAGCCTCTGTCATCTTGCTCCCTCCATCATTTATCAAGCAAAGTGGCATTTCTGGTGGCAATCATTTCTGCGCATAAAGTGAGAGAGATCTAGGCGTTCATGTCTAACCCACCAAATACAATATTCCATGCAGATAGGGTAACTATACAACCTCACCCTAGATTTATCCCTAAAATGATCTTGCTCTTTCATATTAATCAAATATACACATACCTGTATTTATTTCCAGGCCTTGCTCATCCCCAGACAAGACAAAGTTACATACTCTAGACATCAGAAGAGCCCTGTTGTACTATCTTAGTAGAAAAAGATCATTCAGAAAATCTCCTAGACTCTTCATAGCATATGGGAATGCATCAAAAGGTAGACCAATCTCCTCTACAATATTATCCAAATGGATCGTATATCAAGATTTCTTACATCATCAATAAATTACAACTATCAAGTAGGGTGATTGCTCATTCTACCAGAGCCCAAGCTACCTTAGCAGCCTGCTTCAGCAGAGTTGCAATCATTGAAATTTGTAGAACAGCAACATGGTCCTCAGTTCCCACATTTACCAACCATTACTCTCAAGTATCAGCATCTACAGGAGATGCTCAACCATTTTATATGAAAGTCTGTTCCCTTTATAAATGAATTAAATGTTTTTGATATTTCCAGCATGTTAGCAATTGTAAAATCAGTAGCCCTACAGTGTAGACTGGAAGAATCAATTTGCTGAAAAGGACTAATAATGTCTTCTTGCAAGATCATCCTGCAAAACCTCATGCTTGACAGTGAAAGTTGACATTTGCTGCAGTATAAAACTGCCATTTAAACAAATATTGAAATAAATGGCCATACCATTTTGTCAATTATAATACCTTAGTAGCAGAAGCAAACCTTTCCACCCCAAGGAAATGTTAAATACACAGCAGATGATGTGCATATATGTAATGGGAAGCTTTGAATTCCATCCCACAGCTTTTTATATTCTGTGCAACTCATCTATCCATCTCTATCTGTTAAATTATATCTGTTCATTCATTTTGGAAAACAACCCATTTTATGGCTATTGTTTAATAGAAATATTCTGTACCAGCATAATATTCACATATTACAGAATGGTCACTGAGTGGAGCATCTAGCAGGGAGCACATGGCACTGAGATTTGCGCTGTTTACCTGTGGGCCTCTGTGTAGCATTTAAGATGTTTGTCATGACCTATAATGCTCAGAAGGGCCTGGGACCTGTCTAACTGAGGACTGCCTCTCCCTCCATGACATACTGCCACAGCTGTTGTCAGTGGAGACACTCAAGCTGGATCACCCTTTTTATAAAAGAGAGAGTGCTACTGATGGGATATTCTTGGTTAGGGCTCTGGGAGTTCCTCCTGCCTCCTCCTGGAATAGCCTGAATATGATGACTTTCGGAATAGGCTGAAAAAAACATTTGTTTGACCGGGTTTTGGGGGAGGTCTGAGGGTATGTTGTGGGGTATAATTTGGGGATGAGAGGCTTTTCTGTACTTAGTTATTATCTGCTGGCTCTGATAAATTGTTACCGCAATTTGATTATTTCTGTCAGAGTTAATTTATTTTAGTATTAGTATTAATATGGATATGTGGTTATTGTATGTTTAATTATTGTTAGGGTGCAGAAGGTAATCTGTATTTTGAGGTTGTGCAGCATAGTCACCTCCTAAAGTGATTTCAGCACTCATTAGTATTATGCCTGTGTATCAATGTAATAACACAATCATGTTGGCCTATGCGGACAATATCCACAACTGAATTCTCTTCCGATCAGCACTGGCACTTAAGAGCATAAGTGACAGAAGTAGGCCCTTTGTCTGATTTTAATCACACCTTTTAGCTTTTTCACTATACCTTCCATCTGCCTAAACTGATGTCTTTTGGATCAGATGGAGCATAATACCAGTGAGAAAACACTGCTTTTACTATACTATTTCTATTTTAAAATCCTTAAGAATTTATCATGATCCATGAAATTATATGTACATGTAATAGAACAGAAAATACCCACAATAACTATTGTATTATTCATATTCTCACTGGATGAATTGCTTTATAAAGCTACTCAAGAAAACAAGCCTATAGCATGTAATTATTTGCACAACAAATCTGAGTGGATTACAATGGATACTGTAAATTTACTGTACTGCTTCTGGCCTCATGGAAATGTAATTGACCCTGAAGAGGAATTACATTTCTTCCTTTCCCCTCCTCTGAATCCTATAAAGTAATCAACTGAGGCCAAAGGCTGAGGTGTTTAAACCTCTCAATATCAGCGCACTGAAGCGCAGAAAAGGATAGATTCGGGTTATATACTGACTGTATGCAAAAATCATAGAGTATTATACAGGCCTAATTACCTTCTGCTTCTTTTAAATGCCCTGACTAAGCCAAGTACATTAAACAACTACGATGGCTGACTTCAGCGGAGAAGGTGTAATCAACCAGTGCTAACAAACAGTTCAATATGCAGATAATAAGATACCGAATCTTTTAATTCTTTCTTGAAAGTTTCACTACAAAACTCGGAGAACATGGTACTGTAGATGCACCAGCTAGCATTAAGTAAAAAAAAAACCAACTCAGACTTTTAAAATAATTGACTGATGAAATGTATATTTAGATGTTACATTGCAGTTTACCTGTGAGGAAAATGTACAGACCAGGAAGTCTGCCTGAGACAGAAAGTGGATATCCAGAATAACACCCCGCAGTGAGTTTTCAGTGTATCGATTATGAAGTCCAGCTGACCAAGATATGGAGTTATCACTGATAAATTCATAATTTGGATATCTGGTAAAGATATAATCTACAATTAATATCAAAGCCTTAAAATTAAAATTTTACAAACCAGCCTAATCGTAAGAGCAAGTAGTTTTAAGTCACAATTCTCATTTACGGGGAATTTACCATTGTCTTTTTGACCATCTAGGATTTTAGCCCTCTGTCCTCCCCTTTGCCCCCTCATAAGGCCACCTTCTCCCACCCTCCCCGTGTCCACCACCACCAAAAAAGCCCTTCACCAAGCAAAGTTTTGACCCTGTAAAGGGAGCAGTGCCAGAGACTCCATGTGGTCGACTAGGGACTTTGTTATGTCTATTGATTTTATGTGGAAGGCACTCAGATACTACACCAATGGGCAGCAGGATGAAATAAGATAGATAGTATAGCACTGTGTCTTGATTTTAGTATACTTTTACCCATGTTTACTACCATACTTTCTTGGAGGCTTTTAATTAGAGCATTCCATATGGAAATCAATTAGTGGTGATAGGGTCTATCAAATAAACAAATGAGCAGAAACTGAAAAAAATCAGTTGCATTTTATAACGAAGTGATTTAAATTACAGCACTGTTCAACCACAGTTACAGTGTAATTATGAAGCATACCCCATATCGTTAACCTGCCAATTATTGGATTTTTTTAACTAAGTGCATTTATCAAAATGTATAACTTAATACATTACCCTGTAATTACTATAAAGTATGATACTAATAGAATAAATAGTGAGTAATTGAGTCATATAGTTAACAATCTAGTTATATGAATTAATGGTACCTACAATATCAAGAGTTCATAATTTAGAGCAGCCCTCAACACTGGGGCCAGAGCAGCTACTGGTCCAGAATCAAGGTGCTATAACTGGCTCTCTCAGTACCTTCCCTTCTCCTGTGCTGAGCACAGCTCAGAGTAAGAGAGATTAGCTCCAAGTGCTTGCACCATGACTGAAGTTAGAACAGGGTTCGGCAACCTACAGCACACGTGCCAAAGGTGGCACGCGAGCCGATTTTTAATGGCACGCTGATGCCAGCTGAGGTCCCGGCTGCCAGCCCCACTCAGCCCACTGCCGGCCTGGGTGAAAGAAACCCCAGGCCGGCAGCGGGGTGAGTGGGGCCAGTGGCCGGGACCACAGAGCGACTGCAAGCTGAGCGGCTCAGCCCACTGCCAGTCTGGGGTCCCGGATGCCGGCCCCACTCAGCCCGCTGCTCTCCGACAGGGAGTTCCTCCAGGAAGGGCAGGCAGGGATTCTCCCCACAGGGCAGCGGAAAAGCATCTTGGTGATCTTGCATGTGAGTTCTGAATCCCCTGCCCATGGGGCTCGGGGAGCACTGTGGGGACTGGGCTCTGGGAAGCAGCTGTGTTAGGGCTCCCAGATGCTGCATGAGCAGCTTGTGCGACTCTCTCCTGGCCCCTGGACTTTAAAGGGGGAGCCTGGACTGGTGCAAGGCGCTGCGAGTCGCAACTGGCCCCCCTCTTTGCATGGCCCCACTGCTGCCTCATGCTCCCACTCTCCTCTCCCCTTCTCTGGCACTGCATCAGCCCAGGAGGGGGCTGTGCTCCCGGCGTCCCTGAGCCAGCCGGGCAGCGGTGGGGCTGGAGGGGTTTTGCAGCCTCTGGAAAGAGCAGATGGAGACAGGGAGGCTCTTGCTGTGTCTGTGCATTGTAACACAGTGGCACTTCAGCTCGGGTGAGAGTGGCCGCCCGTCTGGGCAGCTTTCAGCCCCCAGGAGAGTTCAGGTTTAAAATGCGCAAACTGCGGAGTGACCTGGGTAGGTTTTGCATTGCAGGGGATCTACATCTCAAAGGGGAAGGCTGTGGGGAGCGCAATGGTCCCTAGAAGCAGCCATATGAGTTTTTTGGGCAGCAGGGACCTGGGTCTTAAGGGCCGCTTCGGAGAGCTCCAGTCCCTGCTGTGTCAGTTTCATGTCAGGAGTTGCAGCTGAGCTGCTTCTCTGAGCCATTAGCATCACCGAAACGGAGAAGCTGAAACTCCCCTAGGCACGGTGTCAATAAGAGTATTCGGTGCACAGGTTCATTTGAAAGAACCTCCTAATGCTCCTTTATATGGTAGCAGTATCCCCCACCATCCCCCTGTTTCTCCTTCCCCCCCCCCCCGCTCTGTTGCCGGTACAGTCGCTACATGCTACTGTCTTCTGAACTTGAAAAGTATCTGGGGCGTTTGTGTGGATCAATATTGCAGGGAGAGATGGGAGCCAGAAAGGGCGAAATCTACATGGACCGTCCATTTAGATCAGCAGTAGGCAACCTATGGCACGCGTGCCAAAGGCAGCACGCGAGCTGATTTTCAGTGGCACTTGCACTGCCTGGGTCCTGGCCACCGGTCGGGAGGCTCTGCATTTTAATTTAATTTTAAATGAAGCGTCTTAAACACTTTTAAAACCTTATTTACTTTACATACAATAATAGTTTAGTTATATATTATAGACTTATAGAAAGAGACCTTCTAAAAAGTTAAAATGTATTACTCAAACGCGAAACCTTAAACTAGAGTGAATAAATGAAGACTCGGCACAGCACTTCTGAAAGGTTGCCAACCCCTGAGTTGGGATCTTCAAACACACTTTGTTTTGTACATCAGGGGACACTTAAATATCAAGCCCTATTTGGTGGGAATATGCCTAATTTAAACCTTCACAACATAAGAACTACTGGAGTAATTTTCTTCAAAGGTGAAACAGGTCATACGCAAGGAGGCTTTTCTCTCTGAAATTAATTAGCTGTGGCCATTGAGACAGGGAAAATCCTTTGTCTAACGACAACAGCTGTGATTGCACAAAACAAGAGAGAGTTTTATTTGCTCTTAAATACCTTGTTTGAAGCATCTGGCTTTGGGGGAGATTTAATTAGAATTTTGCGTCTTGAAGGAAACATTTGTTTCAACATAAAAATGAATATATTAATGGAAAACACTCCAGAGTTAATGACTCAGTTTTAAAGGTGGACTTGGTTATACATAGAACGTGGAAGCGGAGGTTAGATGAGAAAAGGAAGAAACTCTCAATTTTGAGATGCTGCTGCTGTTCCTGAAGAGAAATAGACAGGGCCATGCATGACAGGATATAGGGGTCATATCTATGTCCGAGAGAGAGAGGAGCTGTAACTAGCAATATTTTTCTTCTTGCCTTCCCCATTGTGGCCAATAGCTTCTGCCAATGTTGCACTACTGCTCAAAATAAAGTAGATGATAATACCAGGACTGTTGATAAATTGCAGTTAACTCACGCGATTAACTCAAAAAAATTAAATCATGATTAATCACACTGTTGATAGAATACCAATTGAAATTTATTAAATATGGTGGATGTTTTGCTACATTTTCATATATATTTTATTCTGCGTTGTAATTGAAATCAAAGTGTATATTATTTTTTATTATAAATATTTGCAGAGTAAAAATGATAAACAAAAGAAATAGTATTTTTCAATTCACCTCATACAAGTACTGTAGTGCAATCTCTTTACTATGAAACTGCAACTTACAAATATAGATTTGTTTTTGAGTGCAGTTATGTAGCCAAAAAAAAAAAAAAATATGTAAAACTTCAGAGCCTACAAGTCAACTCAGTCCTACTTCTTGTTCAGCCAATCGCTAAGACAAACAAGTTTGTTTACATTTACAGGAGATAATGCTGCCCTCTTCTTATTTACAATGCCACCAGAAAGTGAGAACAGGCATGTCACTTTTGTAGCCAGCATTGCAAGGTATTTACTTGCCAGATATGCTAAATATTCATATGCCCCTTCATGCTTCGGCCACTATTCCAGAGGACATGCTTCCCTGATGATGACGCTCATTAAAAAAAGAATGTGTTAATTAAATTTGTGATTGAATTCCTTGGGGGAGAATTGTATGTCCCCTGCTCTGTTTTACCTGGATTCTGCCATATATTTCATATTATAGCAGTCTTAGATGATGACCCAGCACATGTTGTTCATTTTAAGAACACTTTCACTACAGATTTGACAAAACGCAAAGAAGGTACCAATGTAAGATTTCTAAAAGACAGCTACAGCACTCGACCCAAGGTTTAAGAATCTGAAGTGCCTTCCAAAATCTGATTGGGATGGGATGTGGGGCATGCTTTCAGAAGACTTAAAAGAACTCCGATGCAGAAACTACAGAACCCGAACCACCAAAAAAGAAAATCAACCTTATGCTGGTGGCATCTGACTCAGATGATGAAAATGAATATGTGTTGGTCTGCAATGCTTTGGATCGTTATCAAGCAGAACCCATCATTAGCATGGACGCATGTCCCCTGGAATGGTAGAAGCATGAAGGGACATATGAATCTTTAGTGCATCTGTCAGGTAAATATCTTGCAATGCCGGCTACACCAGTGCCATGTGAACACCTATTCTCACTTTCAGGTGACATTGTAATCAAGAAGCGGGAAGAATTATCTCCTGAAAATGTAAACAAACTTGTTTATCTGAGCAATAGGCTGAACAAGAAGTAGGACTGAGTGGACTTGGAGGCTCTAAAGTTGTACAATGTTTTATTTTTGAATGCAGGTTTTTTTTTACATAATTCTTCATTTGTAAGTTCAACTTCCATGATAAAAAGATTGCACTACAGTACTTGTATTAGGTGAATTGAAAAATACTATTTCTTTTTTTTTTTAGAGTGCAAATACTTGTAATCAAAAATAAATATAAAGTGAGCACTGTACACTTTGTATTCTGTGTTGTAATTGAAATCAATATATTTGAAAATGTAGAAAACATCCAAAAATATTTAAAATAATGGCATTCTATTGTTTAACAGTGCGATTAATCCTGTGATTAATTGCGATTAATTTTTTTAATCGCTTGACAACCCTAGATAATACTATTATTGTTTAAAATATATTTTATTTATTTTCCTAATGTGAGTTTAGCTTGTCAGCATACTTTTATACAGAAAAACAGCAAGAGCAATAATTTTTAATTTTATTTGTCAGAAAAAAAAAATACAATTTCTCTGTAATCTGAACTTTTTGATATATATAGTACATCACCACACTTTTGTGGAACTTAAAAAAAGCCAAATCTCACAAAATCACTTTGAGAATCCAGATAACTGTAATTATCAATCCCTTCTTATACAGCATAACAAAGGCATCTTGCAAAAGGACCATGGAAAGCTGAATGTCCTGTAGTTGAACATACATTCTGTGTGATATGTTACTATGATATTATGGCGGTAACGTGATGATACTGACACATCCAATTGCAAGTTCTTGTCACCAGGAGCACTAAGAGCAGGTGACTTTCCTCAGCCTATTCTAGAACAAAGTCTACATACCATGTAGAGTCAAAACCTCACCTCATTTCCTGGGATTTGGCTTTAGTTACAAACAAAAGTAAAAATAACTTAGAAGTTCAGCGCAAGCCTTCTCCCCAACGTTCTTACTTTAGTACTGCTTAGATATATTCTAGATCAGTGGTTCTCAAAGCCTTTCTGCCGCTTCTTCAGGGAAAGCCCCTGGTGGGCCGGGCCGTTTTGTTTACCTGCCGCGTCCGCAGGTTCGGCCGATCACAGCTCCCACTGGCCGCGGTTTGCCGCTCCAGGGGGCTGTGGAAAGGGCGGCCAGCAAATCCTTCGGCCCGCGCCGCTTCCCGCAGCCCCCATTGGCCTGGAGCGGCGAACCGCAGCCAGTGGGAGCTGCGATCCGCCGAACTTGCGGACGTGGCAGGTAAACAAACCGTCCCGGCCCGCCAGGGGCTTTTCCTGAACAAGCGGTGAACCGGCTTTGAGAACCACTGTTCTAGATTCTCTCTTTCTACAGAACAAGCTCACTTTTGTCGGCATAGGGTTACCTGCCACCTATCTCAGAGATTTAGAACCCATTTACTCCTTCACAGCAGGATCAACATTTTTTAAGAAGGTGAGTTCTCGTGGAAGAGATTCCAAATAACTTGTTGATTTTCAAAGGAACACTTGTGAATTTCTGTAAATGTTCCCAGAAATCCTACCGTGTTCAACCCCACCATTATCAGCTCTATATACCACAGAGAATTGTGACTTAAAACAGAAAGAACACATTTCATACTTTAAATCTATTTAAATTTCTTGTTAGCTTGAGCTTCACTGCACACAGTGGAATCTTCTAGCCCCTTGTATTTACATAAGTTTATTCAGAAGAGAACCTCTCATTTTTTCCTGTCTCCATTTGTTCAGGAACCCCAGGCTTCTAGATGTTTCTGAATCTGGTCAGCCTCCATTTCATGAATTTGATTTCGAATCACCTTATAGTATTCTGTCAGCTCTTCAATTAAATTTAGGTCATATTCTGGCTAGTTAAAAGCATCAGCATATAATACAGGATTCATTAGGGTCTCTTTATCTCTCTGAAGAAATTATCAATCACTCCTCTTCACTGTAATGCCAAAGGACCAGATTGTGAAAATCAAGCAAAATAATTTAAACTGGCATCTCAAAGCTTTCTTCATATTGGATTATCTGTACGCATTATTTCTTCCCCTCTCATAGTTATCAGTTTCTGGTAGTTCATTTAAGCTTCATTATACATCTCCTCACACTGCATTCAGAAACAGAGGGTTTTATTTGTTTTGGGGGGAGGGGATACTTTTTTAAATATTTTCTTCCTTCCAAGACCATTGATCTTGGATGTGACAAACTAGAGCCCAGTTGAAGGACTAATTCAAGCTTCAGTGTGTTGGAACAGAGTGATTTAATGGATTTAGAAGTTACTAATGCTAATGTTTTTGCAAGACGTAAACTACAGCCATTACATAGCAAAAAAAAAAATGTTTTAAGTTTATGTAGTGGGAGTAAGGAAACAACAGTGAAGTGCTGTGGAAATTCTCCAGATGTGCTGGGGAAATTAAAATTTAAAAAGAGAGAGACAGTTTGTGCAATGCAACGGAAGTTGAAAATTAAAAAAAAAAGCATAAAGTGCTCAAGATTGTATTTATTTTTTAAATATTTTCCTCTTTTTCTGCTTTACAATACTAAAAATATCAATTATATTGGCCGAAGAGATTATGCTCAATTTACAAAAGTCTTACCGACGAGCTGAGGCCAAACATGGACAGATTCAGCCCCGACCAAAGAATTTCTGAGAAAATGATCAACAAATTACAAGAAGGGAAATAGTGAAAGCTGAACTGTAATCTCAACTATATAAATTAAACCACAGATACTATGTTGAAATACCTACATTAAGAATTGTACCCACAAAGGTCAGGAATTATAGGACTCTTCCTGACATGAACACTTCCATTGCACATCTATGTACTGCAAATGTAATTCATCTTACTTCGATTTTGCCTCTTGTAGTAGCGAAGGGTCATCCGTAGCCAAATAAACTCGTTTTTTGTCTATATGCATTCTGCGGGCAAGAAGCTGGAAACGTTCTTCAACATGTACCATGTACTCTTCAATGGGATGAAATGCTGCCTCTGTTCCCACTTTGTCTGTCCTTCGGACATGAACACTGAAAAGAAAGGCAGACACTTGGGATTCAACTTGTAAATGTTTTATATTTTTTATAATAGACAGTTTGGCAATTGAAATTTAGATTTTATCTTTGAATAAACATTTTTCCCCATTATGGTGTTCAGATGAGCCTTAAAATGAACGACTAAATAAAATGAAAAAGGATTAAAAATCAATAGTGTCTACAGACAAATATTCACCAAATGTGAAATTACTAATTGCAAAGTCTGAAATATTCCAGGAACCACAGGACATACTAGATTTGTTATGTAGCACCATGGGAGGTAACTTCCATCCTGCCCTTGAAAACAGAATATAATTATTATTTTTGGAGGCCAAATGCTAATACGCTCCACATCTGTCAGAGTGGAATCTTAGAGATATAGTTTTGCAAATCTCTCCAAGGCTCTGCTACTGAGTAGGCTGAGGCTGACCTTCCTTTGATCTTTTCTACATACACCTAGCAGGTTTTATTTAGTTGCCACAGTGTACAATTTAAATTTCTTCAGGAAAACTATATATAAGCTGTCAGGACTAACAGTATTACATTTTCTCTGGTCGGCAAAGGAAATATATTTTTAAGATATGCTTGTCCCCCCCCCCCAGCTTTTACTAAGTCAAAACACTGCCAAGTAATTCCAATTTTCTGTATAGTGCTCCAAGCATTTCTCTTTTGGGTTTTAAATGGAACCTTATTTGTCCTCATCAGAATTGCATCAATTGTAACACCTTTTAGGAATTGTCAGATACTTCCATTAAAAATCTATGGACATTATATTTCAAACAAGTGATCTATACTATTACAAACAAATGGCTTCAGATACTGTTCAGGAATTCAAGGAGATTAAAACCAACAGATATGGCATGAAAAGGTACATTCATTGCCCTCATATGGACTAGTTAGTTTACTCCACCACAGACAATACACCTCTACCCCTATATAACACGACCTGATAGAACACGAATTCAGATAAAACGTGGTAAAGCAGCGCTCCGGGGGGCTGGGGCTGCGTACTCCGGCGGATCAAAGCAAGTTCGATATAACATAGTTTCACCTACAACGCGGTAAGATTTTTTGGCTCCCGGGGACAGCGTTATATCGGGGTAAAGGTGTATTTCTTTTCTTGCTCAATATTTTAAAAGATCATGTATTTACAGGTTTCCTGGCAGCTGGCTATGCAGTCTGCATGTCAAGTCTGAAGGGAAAATCTAGAGGGAGCAATGCAGGGGCAAGCAGAAATTTCAGCTATTAGCATAGATGTAACAGAGCATGCTTGTCCTTTAAGGTCAGGTGCATCCTAGCACACCTGCTACAGGGCCATAGCCCTTTAAGAGTAGACATGCTGGTACTTCTAGTCTCCAGGAAATCTGCTGAAACCAAAGCCTCCTCGGAGATGAAGCAGGTTATAAAAGTCAAGCTACAGTATCAATGGGAGAAAGATATGGAGTCTCTCTCCTGGAAGACCTGAAGGAAATCAAGCGTGGTTTTTAGATCTCTCTTGGCAAGGGCCTGGGGAAGGAGCTTGAGTGATCTAGGGTCAGAAGCCAATGAGCAGGCCAGGGTTTGCCTTCAACTGTTGAGAACCCCTAGAACCAAGAGGAGCAAAGAAGACTATTCAGACCCTAGTGAGAAGGCTATAGAGGACATCTGTAGTCAAGGGGTAGAAGAAATGTCATGAACCCTGATAAAAGGGAGGGAAAAAGTATTTGCTGGTCCTAGCAGAAGGGCTGTGGACACCTAAGTAGAAGACATAGATGGGAAGATTATAGGAATACAGATTTGATTGTAAATTATTGTCATATAATTTGTATATTAATAAACCAGACCAGAGAATTGGAGATATCTTTAAATTCTATTTGTATGAGATGTGATCACCAGAGGCATTGAAGAGGGTAGGAGAGAACTGATGCTCAGCTGTGCACCTAACATCATAGAAGTAAGCAACTGTAATACAGTGTAAAATGATTGATGTGAGATTTCTAAATATGTGGAGTCTGGTTTTGTATCTATCATATTTTGGAAATTTATTTATAGTTAACATTTACGATGTGCAATAACACATGTACAATTTCTAGGCTAACACCAAAATAAAATTCCTACCCAATAACTGGATGTTTGAAACCAAGTTTCCTTGTTGCTTCTTCGATTTCCTTTTCTAGCCATGGTTGTGGGCGAATCAAATATTTGACAAACTGCGAGACCCACCACACTGCAGGATCCCCATGGACGCGAATTAGTCTATCAGCCAGGTCTTCTGGGACAGCCAATGGCAAATAAGGTGGTCGTGGATGTAGGCTGTCAACGATGGGAAGTTCCACCACCTGAACATTCTTATCATTTGCCTCACCTGTACCAGAATACAAATAGGATGAACCAAGTGTTTCAGTTCAATAACAATCTAAATATGAGATATACGAGAATAAGTAACATTCCAGATGGATCACCAGAACAGCATTTTTAACTTGTTAACAATGAAGCTAATGAACCCCCTTTCTATTTTTGTTGAAACTTTATTTATAATATTGGATTATTATGCCATTTTTGTGCTTGTAACAACCTATGCCACCAGTATGCCTCTTCATTGTTATTAGGTGGATTATATATACAATAGACCAGAGGTTCTCGAACTGTGGTGGTCTGCGAGCTCCATTCAGGTGGTCCACGGATAGTTCCCTTTAAGGTGCGTGCCTGGGTGGCCACGCACAAGAGAACAAAGGGCCATCCACCTAATTAGTGGAGCCATGCAGATGTGGCTCCACTAATTAGGTGCCTGGACCCTGGAGAAGACACGCATGTAAGGTGAGGTGGTGGCCTTGGGGGAACAGAGTGTAGGTGGGAGGGGGCAGTGGGGTGAGAAGAGGGAGGGGGGGGGAATTTGGGACAGGCAGGGCTGCGGCGGCCAGAGAAAGAGCCAACTTTCCCCAGCTCCAGGGCTGTGGCTGCCAGGGAGAGATGACCCTCCTTCCCAGCCTTTGTGGCTGCTGTGGCGGGGGAGAGAGGGAGAGACCCCCCTCCTTCCCAGCCCCAGCTCGGGAGCTGCAGCGGTGGGGGAGAGACCCCCGCTCCTTCCCAGCCCCAGCTTGGGAGCTGCCACGGTGGGGAAGAGAGGGCACATCCATCACATTAGAATAGTAAGACTACTGATATTAAAATATGAGTTGTGTGCTTTTATTTGTAGAACAAAAACCGTTAATTACTACTAAGTGTTTTTTTATATAGTGCTTTTATCCAAAGCGCTTTACAATAGTTAGCTAACGGTACAAACAATATTTGGAAAGATCATTAAGTGGTCTGCCAAGACCATCAGCAATTTTCAAGTGGCCCGTGAAAAGTTTGAGAACCACTGCAATAGATCAACAAACTCTCTTAAAACATCACTACTGTGCATCTAGGTCTACTTGGACATTCCTTACAATTCTGAATACTCAGAATGAAGTTGAGTGTTTAAAAATAAATCAAAAACATTATTTCACACAGCAAGAACTGGATGACAGAAAAATGCAACCACAAGTTCCTGCAGTGTTTCAATCTGGGGACAGCTCTCGATGTAGGTCACTTATCAAACTTTTCCATATACTATTATTTAAAGTTTATATTACAGTAGAACCCAGAAGCCCCAGCCATGATTGTAGCTCTATTGAGCTAGTTGCTGTACAGAGGTAGAAGAGAGGGAGACAATCAAATGCCCATTGTATATACATGCATGAATTTGCTTTTTAAATATTAATTATAACAGAATTGGTTTGTACACACATTGGGTTGCACCACTGACAGCTAAATGCCAGGGCAAAACCAGAGATATTTTAGATCTCGGGCACCACTATCAGGCCAAAACTATTAGGACAAAACTAATTCCAAAAAAGAATAAAAATGTCCATATTTCTGGTGTTCCCAGAGCTCATCTCACATGCTGAACATAAGCAATGATGATCAGACAATTAGAACATCGGAATACAGTACTATACATTTTAATTTTTAAACAATGAAATATTTAGATATGTATTTCTAGTGGGTTGAACAACTCACAAAAGATGTTATTGTCTGCAATGGATGCCAATACAGCACAATGAGAGCTGACCACTGGACCACTAAAGAAAGAATGCATTATGAGTGGCTCAGAGGATAAGTATATTTTCAATTTAAGCCATCAGAAACAAACATGGTAAAATATTTTTTTCTGTACTAAGAATAAAGTATTCTATGAAGGTTTGAAGTTAAAATGATCAGAGAATAGTTGTCAGCTATCAAGAAGGCTAATTGGCTGACAAAATCTATTTGGTGTAAGTAAGAATAATGAACCTGTGTCTTACTCAGTAAAAGGGGCAATTAGAAAATTCCCGTAGTTGCAACTGTTCTGTGTGTATGTAAAATTCATTTCAGTACACTTGTAAAACAAAGCCCATGAAACATGACATTTATTGCATGATTAAAAGGCAAGCTGCAAGAATTTTTTCACTGGTACTGTAGAGTACATCAAAGCTGGCAGTCAAGATTCAGGAATAATAGCAATAACCTCTATGAGATGTAGAACTTTAATTAGGAGCTGGCTGGTTTAGGTGAGGCTATTTTAAATTAATGTTTTCTGGAAAGAAGCCTACAAGTTATGTAGCTGCAAATAATTATTAGTCATGACTTTTAGAGATGAACCTGTATCTTCTTAGGATATGAGTCTCATACTATATAGAATTCATTTAACTTGTATCTGATAAAGTTATTGAACTGATAATTGAAAATAGAATGATAACTTATGGCTTGCTACAATAGGAGGGTTTTGCCAGTACAATTATACTGATTTAGCTAAACCAGCAAATTGTCCTAGTGTAGATGCAGTTATATCACTATAACTGGGCTTATACTCATATACCTTATGCCAGTTCGAGGCAATTATAAATCAGTATTTCACCCTCACCTGGAACACTATGTTCAGTACTGGTCACCCCATCTTTAAAAGGATTTCACAGAAGTAAATGGGGTTCAAAAACGAGCTCTTATACGAAAAGAGACTGAAAAGACTGATATGTTTACTTTAGAGAAAAGATCAATAACAGTTCACTATTATAAAATATACAAAATATTGAATTTTGAATGATATTGAGCAGGTGGATCTCAAAATACAAGAACAAGGGGACATTAAATAAGATTGAAAGGTGGCAAATAGAAAACTGATAGAAGGAAATACTTTTTCTCATAACACAAAATTAGACCACGAAACTCACTGTCATTAGAATAGTAAATTTTTTAAAAAAGTTTTAAAAAGGCTATGAAACCTCATGCTTCAATCTCTATTGAGGTTAGGAGACTAACAAAAGAGTGTTGTCCTCAAAACGGTGCTGAAGTGCATTTTAAAAATAGTACAGCCTTATACAGGCACTCTGCAGAGCAGTGAATTGAACCTGGAAACACACTATAGTTTTCAGACTATGACTTTCTGGTGTACTGACATTTGAGTGCAATACCCCTGTCACATTCCATCACCACTACTACTGAGCTCTCTCTAACATTTCCAATCAGTCTTCTCTGAAAGATCAGAAATGACTCTTCAGACAAAGATGACATCAGGGAACCCATTCTGGTGGTAATGCAGAAGCAGCACTTCAGAGAGAAGATTGGAAGAGGAAGGGCTACAAGATGTGTCCACAATCATTAACATCTACTCACTTCCCAGGGAATTTGACCTCTCCCCTCCCCATTTCTTCCTCTTACAAACCATTTTAGCTTTATGTTCAATGTATATATTGTGGCTAGGCATCTCCCTCGCTTCAGGGGGCTCAGCGTTTCCCACTCCGGCGGTGGGGGCCTGGAGTAAATCAGTCCCACTCCACAGAGTTTTTAATTTCTCATTCAGGTTTTATTTTTCAATATTTACAAGGTGGGCTACTGGGTAGGCCCAAGGAGTACTCGTCAGCCAAACAAAAAGAAACAAATTCATAACACGGATCTGGATTTCTGAAATGAGGGTGGTCTGGTGCTGGAGGGTTGGTGCAAGCTCCTTGCACATCTTGATGAAGGCCTGCTTCCTCACTCTGAAGTTCTGCACCCACTAGTCATCATCCCAGTTTTCCAAGATTATGTGGTCCCACCACACCACACTGGTTCTCTGGGACCAGAAATGGTGGTCCACCGATGGGCATACCATTGTAATCTCAGCACTTGACTCATCTGTTCCTTGGGACCACAGTGGATTTTCATTCCACCTCTGGATCAGCCACCTTCACCATCTCAAAGTTTTCTTGACCAATTCCATCCTGTATCCAGTAATGTACTGCATGAACATTTGTCCAGCAAGTGGTAGCAGACCCACATAATCATATATTTGCTGCGTGTCTCCGATATTGTTTGGCAGAATGGAGAGATGAGTGGGAGCTGCAGTTGCCAAATGCGTGAAGGTGGTGTATAGTACCAGCAACATGTAGCAAGGTGGTTGCCAGAGCATCTCCTATGACACACACGACTCTGTGATACCACCCCTGAAATGGTAGTGCTAAATGTCACATACTGAAAAATGGGATGTGTGGATATGGGTATGTGCCTGTGTACAACCTATACTGATGCCCAGCTAAGCAATGAGGCCACTTGTCACAGGTATGGGATACACGTGCTAGCAGTACACAGACAAGTAGCCAGGGAAGTGTGCAAGTGTAGACATATAACCTTAGACATGTTAATTTTAGTTACAGAAATACCGATTGAGTTGGTGGGAAGTGAAACAAGAAGCTGGATAGACTTTCTCAAGGTTTAATCTACTTATAATAACCAAAGGGGAAATTGTTGGAAAGATGATAGGCTCAGTAAAATGAATTCCATCACCTTCACAAGGAATGTCAGATGTACTTGCAGCACCCTCCACATTCTTGTTAAGTTAGAATGCACATGAATTCCTAGTTCCTGGAAGCACAAGTTCCAAGATAGGGAATCCTGTGCAAATGATATCCTTGAATAATTTTTTTTTAAACTTAGAATGCTGTATGGAACACTGGACAAATCCAATTATCAATTCACATGTCTTACAGTCTAACATGTAACATACCATAATATAAATTATTTTCCTGATATAGAGTGAGTAATGTATGTACAAGAAAGCCCAATTGTAAATTCTCACTTGAGCAGTGCTTTATTGCAAGAGGCAATGCACATAACCAACTGCAAAACTAAAATTTAATAAATGAGGTCATTATTATTTCAGTAGTCAGTTTTCAAAATGCAATCTTTTATTAATGGCTTATATGTTATGTCGTTTTAGGTTTTTCTACGGTTAGGCAAAATACATAAGCCAACTAATTCAGAATCATAGCTCTTTGCCTGAAACATTCCTCCATGAAATCATCAGAACAACATGAAGAAAAATAA